GTTAATACCTTGTCCCATAACCTTGAACACCTGTCTTACCCAATAACTCCAGTTCAGTGCCTCCGATCAGCACAACAGGTCGCATCCTCGTCAGGGTCAGAGGTCAGGGGCCAGGTCGCATCCTTGCCCGCACGCACGCCGAAAGTCTCACACGCCACCACGGGAGATTCTCCTAGTCTTCGGTGTCCCAAGAGGGCCAGAGTTCTCCAGCAGCACACGGTCACTGCTTGTGAGGATCCGCTGCGCCAGACTGCGGAAGATGGGTCTCTTCGAGGTTCGCTAGTTGTCTTGCTGCGGGACGCGCCAACGGTGGCTACATGCCTGGCCTCTCCTTCTTGATGATTGCTTTCTTAAGTTTCGTGTGCTTCCGGTCGCGCAGTGCCTGTATCGACTGCGCTACCACCGATGGCTGGCTACAGCTGGACTAGGATAGGTGCTCCCACACGGGGCTTGTTGGCTTTGGCAGGCTGCTCTGTACCGACTGCGCTGCCGCCGATGGCTGGCTACAGCTGGACTAGGACGGTGCTCCCACATGGGGCCTGATGACTACAGCAGGCTGTGCTTCTGCTCTGTATCCTTTTACGACGACCTATCCAAATAAGCTATCGCACTTGATGAATTGCCTTTTCTGAGTACATTTGTATTGCCTTCTCTTGAATGCAGTTTTTAATGACAGTCCAAGCGCGATGACGGGCACTGTTGGACAGTCCGAGCGCGATGACGGACACTGTTGGACAGTCCGAGCGCGATGACGGGCACTGTTGCGCTCAACGCTGTCAACGTTCGGGGAATCCTACCGGCGGCGGGAACAATTCACCGGCGCCAGAACTCAAATCTGCGCGTGGGGTCAGATAATTATATGCGCCACCACACTCAACCGCAAGACTCCCTGTGCTCAACATCCGGCGATCTCGCTTCCAAATTATGCTAGTCAATGCTAGTTTTGCTTATTTTGATATAAAACATTGGATCACCACAGAAAAACAAGGTCATTAGCATCAATGACACCAAATGAGCTCACTTTGTTTCATTACGGTGCCACAGCTAAACTGCGGTGCGTGAAAAAGCTGAAAAAGAAAATGGATGTGCTAAACTTTCTTAGAGATGCAGAAGGGCGTGGCTTCTTTCTTCGCGACATTTATGTTCCAGGGATGAAGCAAATCGTGTTGAGGCGCTGTAAAGCAGCAACTTATTTTCCATTGCACACGTACAGCAACGTTTAAAAAGATAATGCATTTTGTTTAAACCCTTATCTCTATAAGCCTTTACTTCTTCATCGAAGCGCGGAGAGTGGCCAATTACTTATTAAGTCAAACATGCGATTAAGTGTGTTTTCACATGACCACTTGGTCCCATAAAAAACATAAATTGGATTACCTCTAAAAGGATTTGCTCTAGAAGCCTTAACCTGTTCATTGACACATCGACAGCAACTAATTACTTGTCCAATCAAACATGTAATGGAGTGTATTTTCACGTTACCACTTAATCTAATAAATAAAAAATAAATTGGATTCATTTTTGGTATCCTTAAGAAAGCAGGGAGAAAACAACGCTGGCAGAAGCAGAAGGATCAAACTCACAAGTTTTCGGCATCAAGCCATCTTCAGGTGCATAAGGGGAGGCGGCTGGCAAGGACAAGAGCAGTCCTTTCAAGTTGGGGAGAAGGCTAGTCATTTTTGGTCCTTTCTTTCAGTTAACGCCCATAGAACCAACGTTAATTGGTCAGAAAGCCTGGGCTTCCAGTATCGGCGCTCCTGGCCATCGATTAACACTGGTGTAAGCCTTGCGCACACAGAGCTACCTTCCCGGGCCGGTGCGAGCGAAACCCTTCCCTCCCTTTCTGCACCTCATAATACCGTAAGGCTCAAAATTTGTGAGTTTTAGTATTCTGCTTCTGCAAGTTTATTTTATTTCCGTTCATTTGTACGACGCCGAGGGGTGTGGCAAGATTTTTCATAATTATAGCGAGTGCTGATATAAAATTACACCGAATAACAAAAATGCCCTGCACCCGAGGTTTTCCATGTAGTTGCGTGGGGTAACCTTCAGTTCTGATAACGGTGCAGGGTCAATACTGGTTAAAAAATATACATAAAAAAGGCAGCTTGAGTGCTAAATCTACTTCGGAAGACTTAATCCTGAAAAAAACATTTGACAGGTGCGTGTGGCAATGAATCTACCACAAAGATCGGGATACAATTGGACGAAGAAGCCCCCATTCATACTTCACACAGCCAAGACAGAGTTGTTAAGTGTTCTTATTTATTGATGCGCACTTACCACCTTTCGTAAGATCAGGCATTCTTTGGTCATGCTAATGAACAGACCAAACAGACTAGTTTGACCAGTGAGCCTAAAGAAAAAACCGGCGTGAACCAAGGCTGCGGAAATTGAGTGTTGCGCTGCTAAACGAGGACGACCACGTTATCCCCGTCGCATGGCAGAACACCTTGAGCCGCTGGAGATGTTCCTCACCGCGCAACACGAGTAGACAAGGTAGACGAGTAACCTTACGACAGACGGCTCGCTGCCCTTTGGCAAGTTTCTGATCAAATTAAGAGACATGGTGTGACAGCTTCAAAGAACGGCTAAAAAGCACACATGACGGAACTTTAACTACTAGAATACACTGAGAACAAGGTATTATCCAAGAACTGTATGCTCTCGAAAAGCTTAAATTAAGGAGAGCATCATAACAGGCTTGACTAACCGAGGAAAAAATAAACACCCAAATGAATGGCAGCTATTCCGCTCCTTGGTGGAAGACGCGCAGAGAGGTGAGTTTCGCAATTTTTTACCCTGGAAAACTACCAAGATGAAGAAAGAATATCACTTGCATAATATGCAACGGTTCAGTAGCACCCGGAACATACACTATCATAAAGGATTCAGTTACTTAGCTATTGAGTTTTAACGACGTGTCGAATGCAATGATTAGTTGCGCCCATTAACAGATGATTCACAAACAAATTACCTGAAATATGCATTTGCGGACCACGTGTCAGCATTGAACGTAACTTCGTGGCACGTTTTTGCTTCAAACAATTATCAAACCGAAACGTTAGACACAAAAATACAGAAACACATAGGCATACGATAACCACGAGTGACGCAACGACAACAGCAACGGGCATAACGACATCCGAAAAACGACCGGGCTCCGGTGGTTTTACAAAAGAATTCTTCTGATTCGTTGGCAACAACTTGAGCATTTCTTGCGTCCTTTCATCGTTTGTGCAATGGAATATGGCCATCTATCGATCAAAAGGCGGGCGAATCTTACAACACTGCAGCGAAAAGACAGAAACCGGACGCAGAATTGTAAGGGATGCAGATGCAGATGCATGCATCTTTGCTGAAGGTAGATACCTTTGGCATATTATCAAGATTCATTGGCAAGTATTCACGATGAACATTTCATATCATGAATCATCGCTGTTAAAACAGGATTAGAGATATTCGGATATCCGTAAACCTTGTAACTGCAACTGAAAACATGTATTGGCCTTTCATACATCAATTTTTAGTCACCTAATATTATTCTATAATTCATCTAGCTCAATTTCTTTTTCGACAATACCTTCAAGAAGTACATGAATTGTCATGACTAAATATGCATGCACATATCATTTCACCAAACATTGCATACTGGATTTCCATATTCACATATATGTCATCAAAGAGGCGTAGGAGAAAATGGGGTGCAGCCCTCGGGCGGATTTCTTACCCCTTTTATCTTCAAAGTTGAGATACTAGCAAACGTGATAAGAATCTTGGCATGTGTCAAAGTACGAAAAATTGTCAGGCAAAAGGGGTGAGTCTTTCACAACATGTGAATAAAACCTTGTTATTTCTTGAAACTAAAATGAAGAAGTGAAGCGAAGATGTCTGGGCTATTAATCTTGTCCTGATTAGAGCCAAATGTGTAGCAAAAGGTAATGAAAATAATTAACGCCTTAGAAAACCTCCTCATCTGAAATAAGTGTCAGGGCTTAGAAGTCCTGTCATAATGTTCTATAAAAAAGCACAGACGCACGGAATTCAGCACCATCAGCGAGCTAGACGACGTCAATACGGTGCCTAGCTATGCAGATAAAAATATAACTTGCTTTGTTTTCGCGTGTTGAAATCGACCAGTGCATCGCTATTGGTTACGTGCTTACATTATTGCCCAGCCTACCTGGTGCGTTTTATTGCCCAGTACATCCAGAGTATTTTCTATGACACGATATCGCATGGAAAGCCTGACAGGATTAGAAGAACCAGGCTGATTCCAAGTCATATTAAGTTAAATTTCAACATGTAAAAATCATTCCGAAGATAATCAGATTGTGGACAGGCTGGAACGTTTACTTTGCTTGTGATATAAAGCGGACTGGAGCATGTATATCTCGGAATAAATGAAAGAAGCTGGCAAATGAATCGCTTTGTGGCATGTAAAACCTCGGTGCTGCTTACTGAACGCAACTGTCAAAGCCTGTGTGACCATATAACTTACCTGCACGGTTTTGTTTTCCACAGAATGCATGATTGCGTGCTAAAAACTTGCCTGAGAATCTGTCGCAATAGACGGGGCGTAACGTCTGAGACGCTCTGACTTACTAAAGCCATTCCCAGTGTTGATCATTCAACCGCATTGGAAGGCTACGTCGTGAGAACCATGTGTACACACTGTTCGTGGATATACTGGCCGTTCAGTGGGGCAAGCGGAAAACATATTACCCTGTCAATCGTAGTTAGGTCACGACCTGCCAAATGTAAGGTGATGTCAGGCCACGACCTGCCGTTTGCTCGGGTATGGTCACGCTTCGTCAGAACCGGAAACACGCTCCGACGGGTCCAGCACATATAACTGCTTCGCGGCACAAATGCTCACGGCGATCCCAGCGCGGGGGACTGGGTCATGATTGGCAGCAGCTCTCGGGCCCGCGCCCCCGCCGGCGTAAGTCGAGCGTGCCGCGTACGAGTGGCGCCACCCCGGGACGCATGCACCTCACCCTGCGCCGAGCTGGCTAACGCCGTGTAAGATGGGTACCGAGCCACCAGCCGCTTCACGGTGTCGATCTGCTCCAGCGCGATCTGTACAGCGTCCAGGTACTGAGCCCCGCACGGTACGTACACGCTCCAGAACTGGAATGGACGAACAAGGTGACGTATAAGCGGCGCAGCTGGACTCCACTAGAAAAGTTGCGGTTCAAAACCCAAGCAGTGCGAAAACGTTTTACAGGCGCGTTGCAATAAACACAGTTAGATGCTGCTGCGCACGCGTGGGTCGAAGTGCCACGTGAAAAGAACGTACAACGCGATCACTGTGTGACTAGGAATGGAGCTGAATTTTAAAGCAGCAGAGGTCACGAAAGAAACAATCCAGCACTGTATCGAACATTTCCTGAGTTTATTTTTTGAGCGCAAAAAATATGACGGAGCCGTGTTGTATTTTCTGGCAACTTAGCTTGGCAGCTCTCTTCTTTGCTAAACAATTGCGGGAGTCAACGACTCATTGGTGGATGGTCACCATAATTTGATCAGCGCCGTCTGTGTTCAGCTCTAGCAGGAGCCGTGGGGAGGGCAATGCCAAACTGATGCTGATACCGCAACCACCATCAGCAACCATTGGTGTATTTCTTATTCAATTTGTGGGGAAGCGCTCCAGCCCATACACAACTCTGAGAGAAGTTGGTCACATTTGGGAAACCCAAACTTAATATTGGCGCGTTTTGGAACCAGTTTAAGGAATTGTTTACTGATCAGCCCCCCCCCCCCCCCATTCCCAAACTTGTTTTTGCAACTACAGCCCTGCCTATCACTCAGCCACACAAGCCGTGAGTGAGGCCGTATTGTCGCCAACTCCAACATGCCTCCGACATCACTGAGCAACATCCACTGGCTGGTCCAGCTCGACTTCCGAGTATGGAATCCAAACATGAAATCATGCAACACATAACAAACTTATCAGCATCGGAGCAACAGTTAACGGAAGTCTGCAAGCAACGATAAAGATGCAAAGCCTCTTGCAAAAGCCTTTGGGAGGGGAGACATATGAATGGTTGGCCAAAGATACGGGATTGTACGCAAATGTAGCCGAGGTGAACTGCATAGACAAGACCAACAATCTGCAAGAGAATTCGTTGATAGAACCACTCGTAATCTGTACTGATTGCTGGTGGTGGATGATAAGCCTGCCCACAATTGCTAGATGTCTTCACTACCAATACAAACGTTCTACAGACGCTAAACGCTGCTGCAACGCAGCAACTTCCCTTGCAAAGTAAGTCAGAATGGCAATGAAAATCATTCCCCTGGTGTGGCAGACCGATGCTTATTTGCCAAACACCTTATCACATAGTGGCAGAGAGCAGCGGCAATTCAGCTTCAGGCTTATTCTTTGCTACACATTCCATTCACAGCGGCCTCTCTCGCAGCGTTCTCTAGAAGACGAGCAGCGACGGCTGCTTGTTCCGAGCGTCACTGTGAATTTAATCACGACACTCTCAGCTTCGCAGGCCTAGTCAAGCCCTAATGAGGATTTAATGGGCGGCCCAGTCCTCCTTCAGACGCCCCACCTCCTCCCCGTCACCCAGCCTGAGCCCCGACAGGGGTGTAACGGGGCGAGGGGACCTGCGCGACAGCTTCGGGTAATTCCGGAGGAGAGGAGGATACTGTGAGAATGATTGGTCGCCGCTGTGCCCGTCTCTATGACCAAAAGGACAGGGTTGCGATCGAGCTGAATCGGCCACGGATTCATGCAAATCAAAGCGACGACTGATTCAAACGCTTGCATGGCGATCGCGTTTGTCGGGCGAAGACTTGTGAAAGCTCTTGCTAGCCGTGATGGCAAATAGGCAAGCCAGTTATAGCCCTGTCAGGAGCGCGGGGATGTGTTTGAACAAATCCCGTTCGTTTAAAAGGTTAGCAATCCTTTTGGGATGGCCCTAAATCAAGTGGAGTCAACCAGATCGAACAACTGAGCCCTTCCTCGTAAACTGGACACCAAAGCCACGTGCCATGCCATATTTCATGGCATCTACGCATAGAGATAAAGTATCACAAACGCCGAGAGAACGAGCTCTTGCTTTCACAAAAGAACATGATCACCGGAACACGAAACTGCCCTCGCTCCGCGATGGTTACACGTGCAGCCAAACAACAGCCAAAGGGGAGAAGGGGAAACTGCGCAGGACAGTAACTAGCTTTGCCGACCACAAATGGCACTTCGCCCTGTCACTGCAAGATGGTGCCATAGTTTGTACAAGCCTGGGCAGCCACATCTCGTCGCGCCGCCACTCTCAGTAACCTCGAACTTAGCGTGGAAGATGTGGTCAACAACTTTCAAATCCAAAAGGATGACGCTTCGGCGCTTCATGCTGGTCAGAAAAAATGCGGCTTAAATGTGCAAGGTTTCAGATTGAATCAATGCTGGCTGAGCAGACATAATACGGTGAGTTCTTACGTAGAAGCGCACGTACAGCTGGTCACGTATTCGTGAACGCTGATGACGCGGATCGAAGTTAAGCTGTGAGGCGGAGCCAGCACGAGCGACGGCTGTCTATCCCGAATGGCGGAAGAAGATCGTCTTTGCTCGCCGCAGCAGCGCCATCACCATTGACGGCCGCGGCCGCCGCGCCGCAGCTCGCGCCGCTCCTGGGAACGATCGCCATCTGGAAACGCAGCCGGGCAGTCCAGTCTGCCAAACGATCCCCGCAGATCGGGGCAATCAGCCGGCCGCCGTGTCCGCTCACACAATCGTCCCGAGCACGGCTGACTGGCCGCCCGGTCGTGGCGGAGCCGGCGGCGGCCGACGCGGTCCTCGCCAAACCCGACTAGTGCAGCCACGCCGCAGCGATCACACCCGGTCCTCACTATACTCGAGCCGCGCCGCCGCGATTACACCCGATTCTCATTAGACCGGAGCTGCGCCGCAGTGATCACACCCGGTCCTCGCTATACCCGAGCCGCGCCGCAGCGATCACACCCGGTCCTCAATATGCCCGAGCCGCGCTGCAGCGATAACACCCCGTCCTCACTATACCCGAGCCGCGCCGCAGCGATCGCACCCGGTCCTCACTATACCTGAGCCGCGCCGCAGCGCCGCCGCGATTACGCTCGGTCCTCCCTATACCTGAGCCCACCGCAGCGCCGCCGCGATTACGCCCGGTCCTCCCTATACCTGAGCCGCGCCACAGCGATTACACTCGGTCCTCCCTATGCCTGAGCCGCGCCGCAGCGATTACACTCGGTCCTCCCTATACCTGAGCCCGCCGCAGCGCCGCCGCGATTACACTCGGTCCCCCCTATACCCGAGCCACGTCGTAGCGCCGCCGCGATTAGACTATTGGTCTGTCGGGAGCCGTGCGGTTCATCCCATCCTGACCGCCCGTGATAAGGAGCGGCCCGCGTGCGCGGGGTAACTCCTGGCCGAGGGCTCGACTTCATCAGCCGCGCTCGGATTAGTTACGGCCCGGCCGCTTCGCGAGCCGGCCGACTCGTGCTCCATCGCACCGCACCTCCGCCGCGGCGACGGACAGTATGCTTCGCGTCGCGCAATGGGCGCGGCCGATGGCTGTGGCCATTTTACGGCGTCGTTTGCCGCGTCGTCGGGACGGGGCGCACCTGAGATGAAAGCCGTACGTCGCGCTAACGGTGCCGGCGCGGCCTCCAGCGACCCGGGCAGTCTACAGCGCCGCACTCGTCAGGCACCTGCACGTCGGTCGTCGCTTATGGCCGACGTCGCGCAGTGACTCTCCGCGGCCAGAGGAGCCATCGTTGAAATGGACGCGCGAGCTGGAGCGTTCTGCTAGCCGTCGACGAGGCGCTTGCGGGTTCGTTCTTGGGGTTCAGGACTGCAGAGTGGTAGCGAGAGCTGATCCAATTACCAGTTCTAGGAAGGCAAGTTCCGAATAGGGTGTCCAGTGCTGAATAATGGGCCGAACACCAGACCTAGGGAAGTCCGGTCTTTAACCACGTTTGGGGTCATCGGCCGGCTGTACATTCCTGTTTGTACCAATGAGTGACGCTGATGCGAGCGTGGAGGTCCAGTCATACGACAGTGGAATGAGACAAGGCACAGCTGGTCACACGATCACGATGGAGAAGCTTCCCGTCTTAGCCAGCCAGGCCGCAAGAGATGGAGCGAAATCTCTCCACAACTCGCAGTCGCAGAAGTTGCAGCTTCAGCTAGCCGTGTAACACGAGGTGGAGACGTCGCCTGCTTCGGGAAAGGGTTATGATATCCCTCAATGACGCTGCCACACACCAAAAAGGAACACCTAAAGAAGCGCTGAGATATCGCGGTTAACATACGCACTGTACTGACGAGAAACAAATGAAAATGAATGAATATATTAAGGTATGTTTCATCTACGACCACCTAGGGGTCAAAGTGCGCTTGACCTTGCGATGGTTTCAGAACTGCTCCAGCCAAGCTTACACAAGGTTAGGTGACTGTCAAAATATCGATTGAACACATTCTGAACAGACAGGGAACAAAAACATTTCGGTGCTCTTATCAGGTCACGAATATGTGACGTCATCCGGACGGTCCCCACGTCTGCCTGCGATTCAGAAGGCAGCAATCCGGGTTTCCTGTTTTCAGTTGACAGCTTGCGGTGATTAATCCGTAAACCGGATACGGCTATTAGTCCAGCCAGCCCGGTGTCTATCCCAGGTCATCTGCTCCAGCAAGGTTGCCTACAGTTCTCATTTGCGATCAATCATAAATTAACACAACTTGCTCTGATTCGATTATCACCAACATCTGACAGGCCTAAGTGCTATGGCATGTCTCTGATGCGAAGAATCTACGTCGCTCTCTGCGTTTGGAGGACTTTGGTGATCGCGGAAGGTTTTTAGAACTTCTGAGCCGCTGTGACGGTAGCAGCCTTCTGACAAAAGTCAACATAACATTTCCAGGGGGAAATAGCCAGGACTATCGATTTCCGTTCGGGAGTGTCCAGTCCAATGGTTAGACCCAGAGATAACGAGGGAGATAAAAGCAGCCTCATCTGGCTGGCGCGGCCGGTGAAATGCCCCAGGCGCTGCCGGGTTCTGAGGTTACAGCCGACCTGACTGCGGGGTACGCGACCGGATTACCGGAGCGCGGCAGCGGAGGAGGAGGGCACTCCAGCGCCTCC